TGATCACTGTAGCTAATTTAGTCGACTAACCCTGCGATAAACATACTATTACATGTAGTAGATAAATAAATGTGGTATCAGTAAACTACAGCACCAATCATTCTTAATACAAACTATAGAACTTTTTACTCGCTTTGTTTAATAAATTCAATTAATTACATGTATATATCTATTACCAATGGCATGAAATCTAATGGAATTTTACTTCCTACTCTTCTGCATCTAATTGGTCTCTTGAAGACAGGCAACACCATGGAGTGTGCAATGAGGGAAATATTTCCAGGACAACTTTTTCCATTTTTAACTGTAGGTAGAGGGAAGCTTTTTCCATGTCAGCCCCTCCAATATCACTCACAGGAGGGAAATTTGGACTCAAAATCTAATTGTATTATCTCGACCTATGCTATGATTAAATATTTCTGTTACAAATATCTATTACCCATATAGCTAGAAGCTAGTAAATAAAATTAAAAAAAAAATTTATACATTTTGGGTGAACAATGCTGAACATTGTGCCTTCACACTACAGCATAATCATATTCCATATAAACAGAGCAACAAAACCTAATATGTAACTTCAGGCAAACAGTTGAATATTCCTTCAGTTTAACTGTGAAAGGTTATCACTGATAACATAAGTTAAAAACATTTTATCAAGAGTATTTTAAATTAAAATGACCTTTCCACATAACATGTACATTATTATATAAACTTTATCAATATAAAACCACATAACATGTTTTGTAAAACTACTGAATAACCTATTTCTATAAACCTTATAGTCATTATTCGACTTGGCTTATCATCCTCTACATCAACAAAGCCAAATACATTTCAGTATTTTTATACCACAAAGCAATATTCTGATGACTAAATATCATCATTTTCTAACTTGGTTTTCAATTCTTTAGAACAAGTAACAGACAGTTATGTCAAAGGTAGAGTTAGGGCACTCTAACACTGAATTTGTCAGATTCCATATACAAATCATGTTTGTTTGGTATTTCTTGATCTTTTTCATTATATTGGTATTTCTTGTCCTGCCAATATATTATTTTAATTTTGATAGATTTTATATTATTTCTTACCATATGTTAATATCAACAGATTACAACCATAAAAAATTGTGTTAATTAAAACATTAACCCAAACAGCTGATATACCTCTAATCAGACAGTATCTAATAAGAGAATAACAGTGTTAAGCCTACTGATAAAAGAAAATACAATAGACAACTAGTAATGTGAATGGCCTGAATGGCTCTGACAGATACTGGTCAACCAGAGACAGAAGAACAATCTCTTGGCCTACATAAGATTCTTTCAATGATTTCCACAATATTCCACTATGTTTAGGCTATTTTCTCAAATGATTTAGTCATAGAATTTTAACTATGAATAAACAAGTATGTAAACTTTTCATAATAAACTCAGTTAAGTACAAGAATGGAATGACAAAAATCCACACCTACATAAACAAAATTAAAGGATTTATATTTTGTGTGTTCTTGAAAGTAAGCTAAGATAGCTGATGAAAATGTATTTCTCAATGTATAAAATTTGTCATATTGACAACTTACTTTAATTTTCCTTAAAGGGATTGTAAAGAGATTTTCAAATCTTTTTATGTGTATTGGGGACACTGATAGCATAAAAAAAAGTTTTAGTGCAATGGCAGTAACTACAGACATCTGAATGAAATTTGGAATGGTGCAAATGATGCTTAAACGACACTTTTTCCATATCAACCGCTCCCACAATCATTGAGAGGGGGAAACTTGGTAGCAAAATCTGAAGGTATTATCTCGACCTATGCTATGATTAAATATTTCTGTTACAAATATCTATTATCCATATAGCTAGTAGCTAGTAAATAAAATTAAAAAAAAAAAAATTATTTAATATATTTTTGGTGAACTATGCTGAACATTGTCCCTTAACAGTACAGCATATTCATATTCTAAATTTTGTATGAGTATTGAGGACACTGATAACATCAATAAAACACTAAGCTTTAGTGGAATTGCAGGAACTACAGACGTGTGATTGAAATTTGGAATGGTGCAAATTGATGCTATCATCAGTGTATTTGATACACATAAAAAATTAAAGGGTTAAAAGCCATCACTGGGTCCGGGTCCTCTTTCTTGTTGTAGCAGCAAAAAATTACTCAACTGAAGAAGGATTGGAACCTCCTGCACCTAATTGCCTAGCAGTTACAATCCTACTGAGCTATTTACAAATTAGGATTTCTCACTCAAACCTTCTGCTTTAGTTTTAAGACCATGGCTTTATTACACTATTACAGTCACATCCAGAAGTTAGCTTATAAATAATGCTGACACTTACTTTAATGCATGCGTCACTACTCAGTTCTCTTCTGATGTTCTGTCTTTAAAAAAAAGTTCAGTGTAAATGATGATGCAATGTCACCCTTCGACTTTGTGATCTACAATACTAAGTGTTTTCTACAAGTTGTTTTCCCTTAATCTAAACAGCATTATTATTATTCAAGTCGTATCACGATATCAAGTGAAACAACATAATAATCACCTTCACCTCATTCATTATTTTGATTTTTATCAGGATATTGATTGTTGTTTGTTGACAGGCCCTAACCGGAAGTAGAATACTCAAAGTAGCTGAGAGTATGTCTACTTACCGCAATGTGATGTAATGTACCGAAATGAATAGCAATATTAAAGTAAAGACAATCGGAATTTACGATACAAAGTAGTGATAAAAAGATAAAATTAACGAAGGTTTATATCGACTTCACATGAAAAAGGGAGGCCTTGGTGCTATACCTCCGTTATGCAAATGACAAGATAGACGGCATCATTCACCCCACCTTTCTTTGATTCTTAGAGTGTTGAAAATATGTCAGAAATTTGATAGCAACTGATAAAATTGTCTTTAGAAAGATATTATAATTTTACTTATTATTACGTCATTAATACGATCCAAACTATCGTAGAGCCCATTATCATTGTATTCAGTGTGTCTTTGGCGATACTTGTTATTTAACCGCTAAATAAGAACAATTTAACATTGATATTACACTAAAAACAAACCTTTAATATCAATCAATTTGTATTTGTATCTTCACTGTACGTATTACTAGATTACTAGGAGCAACTAAGATTGCTGACTTTTCGGTCATTAGTCAATTTTAAAGGGAAGTAACTCGTCAAAAAATACAAAACAAATTGAAAGTTGAAAGGTCTTCATCGATAAATTATCAAAAGGCCCTATATCATGTAATGTAAGTATTCCAATATTTTCTTAGCCTATTTATTGTCTATCAGATGTACTCTATTTTATTGCTTTATTTGTACATGTAGGGATACTACTCTCTGACTACAACAATACAATGGTTTCTGGATTGAATTTCATTTCCTCGGAATTTTCTGTCCGAAAAGTATGTCATTTTCATGTGAATTTTCTGAGAGGGAATTGTGTCTGTTTCAAATGTAAAATCACCGAACCTTATTCAGACCTTCTATTGACCCGAAGACATTCTAAGAGAAAGGGTATACAGTTGAAAATTTCATTTAAACTCAATGTATTCAGTGAGTAGAGATTTAGTGCTATAACAACTACAGTCAAGTAACTTAATTTCGTGGAAACCTATTTTTCGTGGATTTCCGGAAAGGATTAATAATTTACATGTGCGACCTCGCATGACCTCCGCATTTGCTTGTTTTGATAAATATGAGTTTTCTGTACAATATCAGCTAGTAGAATGAATTCAGTAGTTTCAAGCATGGTTAAATATGTTAATGTATACTTTGACAAATACAAAATGGCGGATTTCAGTTATTACCAAACGTCACCATTTTTTATCGGCTGAATTTCCTTATAATCCCCAGCGGTAATTGGAATTCCAAGTGTCGTCTGCTAGAATGTAGTCCAACGAATGAAGTCACGTGATCAACTAGCGGATTCCGTGTCAGCAGAAAATTTCTATGGAACACAAAGTGGACCATATTCTTATGTTGTTTCAGTGACTTTTAGCACGCTACGTATCTTATTTTGTCGGTCACTATTTTTTTTTTTAAATCGTGGTTCTTTGAAGGAATTGTCACTAGTTATAATGAATTGATATTAAAGATAAATACTAAGAGAAGTTAATCATACCACACGGTATCCATACAACATGTTTTTCTAGACTTATTTATAGATTAAACATTGTACACGAAAATAGGTTAAAAAATTCGTTTCTTTAACTTTGATGAAATTCGGTGTTGAATCCTTATATCCACGAAAATAGGTTACACCACTGTATTACTAGTCATAAGAGTCCATTTGAGTGAGATTAAGACTGACACTGGCATTGTCATTATTCATTCAGTGGCGGAGCCAAAGGGGGGGCAGAGGGGACAGCCGCCCCCCCCCACAGCCACGAAAGCAAGTTTTTCGGGCAAAAATCTCACAATGATATTAGAAATTCAGGCAATCCCAGATATTCTGTCCCCCTCGGACATAAACCTGGCTCCGCCACTGTATTCATTGTTTTTGCTGATGTACAGCAGAATGCTATTTTCAGTGTTACAAAGTAATTGTGACATCAGATTAACAGAATATTGTGTCAGTGTTTGAACATCTCGACTGATTTCCCTTTATCATAGAGTTTTGAAATGAGTCAGTAATCATATACACAATAAATACTAATCCATTGTTATTTAAACCAATGATTATATTAGTCAGTAGGGTTGTTTTATTATAGATAATAATTTCAGAGGTATTCAGCAAACATTGAATGGGAAGAATTTAGAATGAAGAAATCTAAATAGTGGTAGATATACAGATTTAAGTGTTATTTTCTTCCAGTTTATCTGTGTATCTGTACTAATAGATGGAATCATGTTACCAGGAGCTGAAGGTATCATAAGGCGGCAGAAAAAGGGTCCAAGTATGGCAGTGTCGGCCAAACAGATAGAAAGAGTGGTCAATGATTCTAAATATAGATATCACAGGCTGCCTGGAAAAGCCAAGATTATGTTGTTTATTTCATTGTTATGTTCATTTATTCTGTATTATTGTATATACAGAGTTATTTTCTCAAACGACTTACAAAATGAATCCTTTTTGGAAACTGACAAGTGCCCTGCTTGTTTTGGCTCTTCTGCTTGTGGTATGCTCTTAGACAATCATATAAAGCTTACTGGATGGTCTAAAGTAAGATTTTTGGATGTAGTAAATGTGAAAAATGTTCATTTTGGAAAACACATCTATAGTGAAGAGGATGTTGTATTGAAGAAGTTAGCTCTAAACAACGAACTAGTCAAGGTTGATAATGCTCTGTGTAAAGATGCTAACAGACCAGAAGGTTGTGATATCGCACGAGTGATTTACAAAACAAACACAGCCCATGCCTTGAAAGATAAACCAATACTACCAAAACATTTAAATAGTTTAGAAATTGGGATGTTTACATGTGGTAGCTATAGATTATTAGATAAATTATGGAGTAAATACCAAGAAAAACAACCTAATAATGTTATTTTATATAGAGATAAAGTACAACTAATGTATATATCTATGGTGAATACTGAATCACTTCTTATGCAGGTAACAATTTTTAAACATTAATGAACATGCAGTCATCAGTAATGGTTAAGGATAATTTTATCTTGAGCTAGGCTACAATTTGCTTCACATTCACCTTAACGACCCTCAATAGTTTTCCCATAATTGTGTTTTCACCATTTCTCAGTTTTACTCCCTAAATATCCTATAAGCAAATCACTTGAGTAATGTGTATACATATATAAATAATACCTGCTTCATAAAATAGATGCAAACACTTTGATATTCTCATTAGTAACACTTACATTACTGAATAATATATACAAATGTATTTTTTTTCAGACGTTTCCTGCAAGTGATGGCTGGCCATTCCCAAAATATTATGGTGCATGTGGGAGATTTGTGGTTTTAGAAAATGCTGGAAAACCTTTAACTGAATATTATAATGCTCCATTTTCTACAAGGGTAAGTTATTGCAGCATTAGTGATGCAAGTGAAAGCAAATTGTTCTTGACTTTCAGGAGCTACCAATTGAATTGATGCACTAGGTTATATGAAAAATCACACCGTAAGAATAAATATCTATATATCACCAGATGTAAGCATTTCATATGTTATTCACAAGCTATTATAATATAAAGGAAAGAAAACCCTTATAATCCCTTGAAGTACATCTGTGTTTTAACACATTTTATATTTATCCTTATTTATAACTGTTATTTAGGTTGATTTAGCTTATCAGTTGATGAAAATGGCTATTTTAATGAGTGAAAATAAAGAAGATTTTATATTATACTGGACTGATATACAGTATGAAAATTTTGCTGTTGATGTTGCTGGTAAAGTGAAAATAATTGATGCTGAAAATATCATTGTTGTTGATAAAATGGCTATCGAAGCTAGTAAGTGATTGTTTAACTTTATCAAACAATTATTCTTATCAAATAAATTATCAAGGATACCCAGAGTATAATGACAAAACGTAGTGACACATGACGTCATTTGCTTGATTGACTGTGATCAGTATGGTGCCTTCTTTCCTCATTAGTCCAATCAGCCAGGCTGTAAATTGGCTTAGGTAATCTGTTCCTGTTTAGATTAGAATGTTGCTATGGACTGTTATCTTTTAAACGATGCGATAATGTTGAAGCCATGATAAGAAACATTCTGATGCCAAGGTCAATGCTTTAGAGACTCAACTTCTTTGTATAATTCAAGACAGATGAAGGATATCTTAGTCAGTGGCAAGATAAGTTGTGAAGAATTGGTTGTATAAGTTTGATTGTCTTCTGCTAGGCATCTAATTCATGTATTTTTTCCTTTGTAGAACAACCATTAGGCTGGTCGGAACCGTATGAAAGTAAGTTTGATGATTGTGAAGGTCGGAACTGTTTAACATTTAGTACTGATAATCTATGTCGGCATATGTCTTCAGACCATAACTATTATGCGTTATGCCGTAACTTACTGTCCAAATATGGCACGGAGCCGGGAATGTCAGGAGGTTTGTTACATGATATGCCAAAATATGCCGAGGATGATTGGGATTTACTGAATTTGCTCAATGAATGTGCTTATCCTTCTAAACCTAATGGTAGATTTATAGTTAAAGAAACACTTCTAAGTGCTTTTGACAATTTACGAAATGTGGACAAAGTCAAAGACGTCAAATTTGGAGAAACACAAAATGATGTGAAAATTAATTCTAAACATAACTCAGTGAAAAAAATAATAAATTCTATTGCAGATGAAACTAAGTGATATTTTTTTTTCTTGCCAGCTTTTGTGCTTTTAGCTTTTTTATATTAACCTACTGGATAGGATTTATAATAGATTTTTTCTACTGTTTTAAGTCTTGTGCAATCAGGTAAATTCTTAGAAATATTCAAATTGAAAGGATACATAGTAATTGAAACTATAATAGTTATACTTGTATTACTCATAATATATATGCTCTTGTTGTAAAAGCATATTGTTGACTAGCTAGATGTAACTTATATCTTGCAAATGCTTTGGCAAACAGTTCTCTATTTATAAAACTTTTACTTTCAAGAATATATATATATGCCAGAGCACTGAACCGTTTTGGGAAGTTTGACATTTTTTTAAAATTTTCGGTGTGTAATTTTGTAATAAAGTATGGGTGATCCAGTAAGATTTACAGTTGTCTGACTTTCCCTGAATTTAATGAAAATTGCATGTACTCTTTTTTAAAGCCTAATGTCTAGAAGTAGAGCTTTCATTTTAAAGCACTTTTTTCAGAATTGTTATTATGGGGTTAGTCTGTACCAATGTAAATCATTTATATTATGCAATCATCAATGTTCATGAACACATTCCATTCAAATTTGTATACATTTGTTTATTGATTTTTTCTGATAAAATATACACTCAATAAATTTATATATATATATATATGTATTTTCAAGATCAAGCATTGTACATCAAATAAACACTAACAGAGGTATATCTAGAAAATGCCTTAGAAAGGGGCCAAAAATGAGAGATGTCTCTTTGAGGCGAAGCCCCAATGGCCGAAACTCCTTGAGGCTAGGGGGCTGCAAGATTCTCCCAGATGCCAACGGAGTTCAGATTGCCTGAGATGAATTTTGAGCTTAATTTTTAATAAGACCTTTCACAGGCCTGAGTATGACCCTCCCTGTAGATAGGCCAGTGAATACTAATACTGTATTGGTATTTTTATTTGGATAGGTTAAGAGAGGGTTAGGTTAAGTTGACCGGTACTGAAATTCTTTGCCATCATAAATTCTGTTACACGGCTACAATTTAGGGAACTTTATACTGATGGTCAGTCGACAAATTCAAAAGCTATACTGACAATTTAAAAAAAAAATCCCTGAAGGAATTTAAATGATGGTGGAACAATAAACAATCCAATAGTCCGAATATTTAATGTTATTTGTGTCTGTAGTATAGTTCAGCCAATAAGAATCGGAAAATTATCTCTTACAAGTCACCAGCCTTCCTTGCATTACTACACACTCTGGCTCTAACCTTAGCATCACGACCATCGTTTCTGTTAGTTACCACATCTCTTAATGAGAACTTATCTAAGTCATACTTCATCCATGATTTTAACAGAATGTTCATGGCAGACTCATCATAACGGTGACAGTTGGCGTAATATTTAGCACTCGACAAATTTGGCGTGTCGCACGATCGTTTGGAACCAATGGGCGCTATACACCATTCTTCAATGGTACATGCAACAAGCCATTTCATAAACCTCTGTTGTATGGTATTAGTATTGTGTAACAGAATCATATTGATCTCAAAATGTGGAACCCTCTGTAACTTTCGTGTATCGGAACTAAGATAATAATACATATCAGGATGAGTTACTATGTATGTAGAATATTTCTGACGTTGGCCAGCAAAAAGTATTCCAAACTTTCTGGAATGTTGAATATATGCGTTCATCTTCTGTCGGTTGATGACTAAATATGGTTCAATCCAAATGAGATGACTCATATGTGCCAAGGCCATCTGAAAAATAAATGGTTACCATGTGGTTACAAATCAAAATTATTGTGTGACTCGTCGGGTTTGTAAAACCTACGGAAACCCTCGAAATCCACTTAATCCGGCGCTTGAGTAATGTATTTAGGAATGAAAAAGTTTATCCCAACTTCAGCTCTTTATTTGCCCGTCCACTTGATAGAATCTGTCAGGTACATCTAAATGACAATCATATCAGTGAGTAAAAGCCAAACGACAGCCAAAGGTCGTACAAACTGAACTGATTAGCGTAAGTGGATGTCGGTAAACTTCCCGACCCACATCACTCTGAAATGTGCATTGTATCATACACTGGTGAGCTGTTCATGATCCAAAGTTGAAATTGCTAATGGATTCCTTATTTTGAATACCATGGGTTGAAAGTAAATTTACCTGTAGAATGATAGGTCTCCATAATTTATTTTCTAGATCTCTTATGTGTGGAGGCCAAACTTCAATAAAACTTGGTTTTACTTGAACTTGACAAACTGTCTTCAACTGCAATTAGAAATATATCAGAAATTAAATGAATATAAACTGTATTCAACAAGTCAACCATCATCGAGAATAATCTGAGATATAGAATGTCGTATGTGACTTGGTTTGGCTTCTTGATCTCAAAGTTTATAAAGCTCATTGATGTGTGTCTTGATTGACTTGTTAAGTACAGCCTGATAAAAGATCCATCAAACATCATCTCACTGCTAACTGTGTAAGCAAGAATCTCCAAATTGCGTCCTGCAGAATTACATACATACCCAGTTTTTCTGATCCGAATCCATTCCTATATCATAGATAACAATACTAGCAGTAGGGTAGTGGTTTTGGATTGAAACTACCAGATTTACCACATCTTTAAATGTTTTAGTCCAAGCAGCACTGACAAAATATAGCAGCTCCACGCTCTCGTGCATTTCAGACTCATTATCTTCATCAAATTCTTTATTCAGTTCTTTAATCTTCTTGAAGAACTCGATACGTCGTTTATGTTTCTCTTTAGCTATTTCTGGAGAGTCATCACCCGTGTCGAAATGTTCACCCTTATGGAAAGGTCGATTCTTTGCCGGATGTTTTCTATCGAAATCTTCTATAGCTTCATCTTTAAGTTCTTTTAGATCTTCTTCCTCCTCGGGATCTGGATTTGGTTTCTTTCGTACTACCTCTTTCTGTTTTTCCTTTTCTTTCTTTTCTTCTTCCTCGATCATTTTATCAAGTTCGTCGACATTATCTGCCAACATTTTAGCTTTACCTTTCGATTTTTCTTTCTTGGGTGGTTCTTTACCCGCAATATTAACGTCCATATTCACGTCTACATTCTTGTCGAACTGAAACTGTTCATTTCCTGTGTCAAAATCATTACCGTTTTCTGGGAGCTCGACATCTGTATCATCATCATAAAATACCCCACCTTGTTGTTGCTGTTTGTTCTGAAAGGGAAGAAATGAGAACAAATAAATCATGTAAAAACAACGAAGATTTTTCGAAGGAGATGGCGAGATAGCTACTTTAGTAGGGTAATATTATGTGATAATATACGAAAAAATGTTTCAAAATTGCTCGTGTCGAGTTTGAAACAATGGTATTTTGTTTTAGGTCAGATTGTGGCTAAGGTCTTCAGATTAATCGGAATATGTAGGCCTACATGTACTGCTTGGTTGGCTACGTTGGCACAACACAAACAATATAGCAGCTCAAAATTAAAATAAGATCGAGATCTTAAAGTTCACAGGCTGAAGAATGTTACGTAGGCCTACAGTTTTTTCAACCATTAGCCTTGTCACCTGTTTATTGAACACCTAGTGGTTTTTCATTACAGATCGATGGTAAATTTAATCTGGCAAATCCAAGCGATCAGGCTCTCCCCAGAAAAAAAAGAGAGAAAAAAAATTCGATGCCATGCCTGTGTTTCTGATTTTCAGACTCTCACCATCTCATCAACGTATTACTTACATACGTGAATACAATTTTTTAAAATAAGATTACAACTTCATTTGATTTTTGTTTTCTGAGAGTTTGTCGTCTCCAAAGTTTTCGATCAAAGGCCCTACATGACATAGGCTACTTTGATTGGTTAAAAATAACGTAAACAGAACAGAACTTTGGTAGAAAACTCCTTAGATTACAATAGAGACGGAAACTATTAGAAAACAAAAAAGAAGGTGTTATCTAAAGTAAAACCTATATGTCGATCAGTTTACCTTGGTTAATGTGTCAAACATGCGAAATGCAAAATAGGCCACCCCTATCAAAATACCATACTGAAGAAGTCGTTTTGGAGAGAGTTTCTTTTGAGTTTTAGTTAATGTTATTGTGTTCATTTTGATATATTGTAGACTTTCATAAACGAAAGAAAAGTAGATAAAAACTTTGGTTTAGATTAAACTTAATCACAGTTTTTTTTTTTTTTCACAAATCTTTTTTTTTTTTATCTAATTCTTAATCCTAAATCCTTAATCCGTTAATTCACCATATCATAATCCAGTATAAATTGTCCTAAAGGTATTATATCTTTTAATTCTGGCTCAAAACATTGCCTTATTCATATACCATTGTTAAGTTTCTCCAAAAATATTCATTTACTCCGCTTAGTTTCACCAACTGTGTACAGAATCTTTACTTGTTCCAATATTCCTCTCTCCTAAGTCCAAAACAAAAACTTCTCAATTATGTTCCAAATTCGTATGATTCCATGCAGTAAATAAATAAATTCGTAAATAGGCCTAGGGGTTCCATGTCATTGACGTGTTTGCGTGGCTATGTATTGACCCATTGGGTAACATCTGGTTCCAAAATCAATTTCTTTAATTCCGTTTCTCAACTATGAAATACCTTTCTTCATTTAGATTTAATAAGTAAATAATCGGTTGCCTTGTAAATAAGTTAACTTGATAGAAAATCAAAGGCAAGGTCGTTGAAGGCTATCATGTAGCCTAAATATTTCAAGTTTCAAGAATTTTTTTTTTTTAGGCTTTTTCCCGATTAAATTTGTGGATACCTTTCGGGGTTCTCCGCCACAAAGAATTTGAAAAATAGAATTGATTTGGTGAATTCTGACACATGTTTAAGGGACAAACGTATGATAAAACATATTTTAAATTTCTTTAAAATGAAGTGAACTAGGCGTCTGCAATTAAGAGGGTGAGGGCGGGGGTGCATCTACAGTAGCCTACTCCGTCTTTTCAGCCGCATAAAGAACGACCTTGCTCAAGACCTACCAATTCCAGACGTTCAACAGTTATTCTTCTTAATCTAGCAAAATAAATCTCCACTCAAGAGTTAAACTCTTGATCCAGCTTAGGTTACAGTACTTAATCAGTTTAAACAAATTCAGCCTAGGACCACTCTGCATTCATATAATTTTCAAAGATAAACATAACGGTAATATGATAAATGTTAAGTAAATGAGCGTATAACGCGTAAAATACACCTGATGACATTCGCTTTTAATTGATTTATTGGCTAATATAATTATAGTTTCATTGTTATTCTAATCAAACTAGATTCAATCCGATTTAAATTCAGATGCAAGTTCGTACTTGTCTGGAATATTATTAGAGTTATCCCCCTTTATCAAAGTCTCCATTTCAGAAAACTAAGGACGCTTCTCCATGTTGGATGTCTTTGATTCAGGGGTAATATTTTAGTAAAACAAAATGAAATTGAAGAGATTTTTACTGCGTTATTATCCACCAGGTTTGTACAACATTTCTAAATCATTTAAGTCGATATTTTATTAGTTATTTTTATAAGAGATTGGAAAAATTGGTCTAAGAACAATATTATCAACCACATGAGTCATGAGACGAGGATCAAAACAAAGCAAACTAGACAGTGACATAGACAGGTTTTGGTAAGATGGGCCTAATCTTTTATAAACTTATAGAACAATTTTCCTCCGTCATTAAAGTAGATGAGCTTACACATTAAATGATTCATTATGTCTACTGTGAAAGGCTTTCTCATGCTTGAGTAAAGGTGTGATCAAAATTTTAAGATTTTGGGGGCCATGTTAGGCACGTAGCCTACTTGATAGGCCTACAGGCAATGGGCTTACTGCACATCATATCTCAGCTCTGTAAACAAAGTCAAAGTAAGTTTGTTACAATATTAAAGATGTCTTCTGTAGGACTCCAGATACAAATGATTTAAGCATATCGGAACAGCTTATACTTAGTCTGTGTGGTAGAGTTTGTCAACTTGACCAACCTCAATATGAAATGATTTGTTTCTTTTGAAGGTTATTAATAGCCTATTTGATTTTATTTCAATGTAAGCTTATTTATTAAGTAAGATTTTTACTATTTTAAGGTATCATATTAGAATATGAACAGGGTGAGAAATTGAAGACGAAATCAATAGATTTATTAGATCTAAAACCAGAGTAAGTAATTTTGAAATTCCTTTTGAATCAATTTCATTACCGGTAGATATTTTTTTACTTTGATTGAGTAATTCCTGAATATATGCATTAATTTACAGGTATTTTTCTGGCATGTTTGTAAAAAACATCATTCCAAAATCTTAGGCTTGAAAATAAGTTGCTTTGAAACTGTTCTGATTGAAATGATTTGAATTGTATTTTCAGGACAGATGTTGATAGTATAGTTGATGAAATTACCAGAAAAGAACCATTAATATCAGCTAGTAAAGCTGAACAAGTTCATAAACTCATTGTTCGTATCCTTTATATGGTGAAATAACTATAGATGAGATTGATACATCCTATTCTGATGAAACGTTGTATCAACATCTGATCCAAGATATCTCATTGGAGCCGTCAAAAGTTGTCAGACATGGACTCGGATTCACAGTAGTAATATAGTGTACTTTGATTTGATTCCCATGTTAAAGTTATTAAAATTGATGCCACAAAAGAAAATACTTTCTGCTATTGGCATATAAGCTTATTACCTTGCCTGGCTATCCCTATGATTACAATATTACATTTTAAAGATAAAGCTTCCCATTTTATATTTCAAATGTTATGTACCTTAACTAGATCTCCAGGTTTACAAGAAAAATTGTGTCATGTTGAAGATCGTTATTTTTATTTGTTTAAAGTAAGTGATAGCTTCCATGTTTTTAAATGGGGGCACCTTTTATTAGTCTCTCTTGACTGCATATTTCTTACAATATGCAATTTTTTATACTATATGAATGACAGATATCTTCATTGACTGTAAAGTTGAGCAAAGATATTGATCCACATCCTGATATGATTCAAAATATAAACATGACCTGTCCATTTTTATGTCGTTTAAGAAGTCATGATCACAATATAAGTCTGTTTTATATAGTTCTAACTACTGATTTTATTCCATTTCAAACAAAATAGACTGATCTTGTATATCAACTAGAGTCTTTCTTCTAGAATAACCAATTTATATTATTTCAGGTTTTAAGAGCACATATCCTTCCATTAACTAATGTAGCATTTAATAAATCAGGCTCTAGGTAGGTAATTATTTTATTTTTCGAGAGAAATAGATAATGACTAAGCAATGAATTAGTTCAAATAAGATATTTGTCAAATGACCAAGAGTTCTACCAGTGCCTAGCTAACAATCATAGAGAAATAACCACAGGCAAATTAGTCTGAAGGAAAATCAACCAAGATACTACACACCAACGCATAATGATCTATTAATTACCTTGATTAATTTGTGCAAATCTGCCTTTATTTATAAGTCTAGTTTGGGCATTCTTCACTATCAATATCTAATTTTGCCTCTGAATCTGATTTATCTCTTTTCTGCACATTTTTATATTGTTTTGATTTGTGCCTGTTGAATATCTCATAGTATTGCAAAATTAAAATATGACTCCAACAGAAATCAAAAGATCTGTCTGAAACTATTTTGTGTTGATAGTTTTATAACAGGGAGCTATGATAGAACATGTAAAGTATGGGATACAGCCTCTGGTGAAGAATTACATACATTAGAAGGTCATAGAAATGTTGTATATGCCATAGCCTTTAATAACCCTTTTGGGTAAGTTTTATTTTATTTGTACACAAATGTAACCCATTAAGCAACGAATGTTAAGATGAAACTAGTATTGATTTATCTGGTAGCTTAACCAAAATATATTCATATCTTATTTATTAGTAAAAAATTAGTTGAAAAAAGTACCCAACAATAACCAAAATGGCAACTGGTTTTAAGGCATAAACTTCAGAAAAAAAATACCCATATATGTTCATTTAGGAGGTAAAATTGTACAAGGATTGAAAGGCTGCTACTAAATATTGTTAAGCGTATAACCATACTTTGATATAAGCATTCTGAGTTTAAAAGTTAAATTTGAATTATTTTAGGGATAAGATTGCCACTGGTTCGTTTGATAAAACTTGTAAATTATGGAGTGCTGAAACTGGTAAATGTTACCATACATTTAGAGGTCATACAGCAGAAATAGTAAGTACTGAATCTGATATAAAACATAAGGTTTAGGCCCTTTTATCACGTCTTGAACTTCTGAATTACTTTAAAAGATATATAACAGGATTTATGGTTATATTTTAGGTATGTTTGGCATTCAACCCACAGAGTTCTGTAATAGCTACAGGTAGTATGGATACCACAGCTAAATTATGGGATGTACAAACTGGTGCTGAATTAAATACACTTAATGTAAGTAAAATTGATAGAAGCTTAAAAGGATAGTTAGCTGTCATTTGTAATGCTCAAAACTACCCAAGGAACTTGATTGAAAGTGAGAACAACAAAACTTTCTGTAGAAAAATATCATGAAGTTTTATAAAATGACTTAGCAAGAAGTAAACTAGTCAACCATTCTATTCAATACAGTGAGAAGTGTTCTGTCAGTCACAACATATTCCAGGGTTTTGTTTTGATATTTCAAATATTGATATTGTGTATGTATGTTTCAGGGTCATTCTGCTGAAATTATATCTCTATCATTTAATTCTACTGGTATATTATTAATAACAGGATCATTTGATCATACTGTATCAGTGTGGGATACAAGATCTGGGCAGTAAGTATTATTTAATTCTACTGGTATATTATTGATAACAGGATCATTTGATCATACTGTATCAGTGTGAGATACAAGATCTGGACAGTAAGTATTATTTAATTCTACTGGTATATTATTAATAACAGGATCATTTGATCATACTGTATCTGTGTGAGATACAAGATCTGGACAGTAAGTATTATTTAATTCTACTGGTATATTATTAATAACAGGATCATTTCATCATACTGTATCTGTGTGAGATACAAGATCTTGGCAGTACGTATTATTTAATTCTAAAGGTATATTATTAATAACAGGATCATTTGATCATACTGTATCAGTGTGGGATACAAGATCTGGGCAGTAAGTATTATTTAATTCTACTGGTATATTATTAATAACAGGATCATTTGATCATACTGTATCAGTGTGGGATACAAGATCTGGGCAGTAAGTATTATTTAATTCTACTGGTATATTATTAATAACAGGATCATTTGATCATACTGTATCAGTGTGAGATACAAGATCTGGACAGTAAGTATTATTTAATTCTACTGGTATATTATTAATAACAGGATCATTTGATCATACTATATCAGTGTGGGATACAAGATCTTGGCAGTAAGTATTATTTAATTCTACTGGTATATTATTAATAACAGGATCATTTGATCATACTGTATCAGTGTGGGATACAATATCTGGGCAGTAAGTATTATTTAATTCTACTGGTATATTATTAATAACAGGATCATTTGATCATACTGTATCAGTGTGAGATACAAGATCTGGACAGTAAGTATTATTTAATTCTACTGGTATATTATTAATAACAGGATCATTTGATCATACTGTATCATTGTGGGATACAAGATCTTGGCAGTAAGTATTATTTAATTCTAAAGGTATATTATTAATAACAGGATCATTTGATCATACTGTATCAGTGTGGGATACAAGATCTGGACAGTAAGTATTATTTAATTCTACTGGTATATTATTGATAACAGGATCATTTGATCATACTGTATCAGTGTGGGATACAAGATCTGGACAGTAAGTATTATTTAATTCTACTGGTATATTATTAATAACAGGATCATTTGATCATACTGTATCAGTGTGGGATACTACATTTGGACAGTTTGCATAAATTTATATAAATGATGGTTCATAGCATCTATTATCTGGGTAAAAACTAAATTAATGATAACTAACCAATATTTCTACTGAACTATGATCACTATGGAATAGATTAAAGAAAATTTATTACGTCATTTCTTTGGTTTTCAGACAAGTTCATACATTAATAGGTCATAAAGCTGAAATAAGTAGTGCTCAATTTAACTGGGACTGTTCATTAATAGCTACAGGTTCTATGGATAAAACATGTAAAATATGGGACACTGATTCTGGTAAGAACATTTTCCTCTTTTCCTCCTATGACATACATTATATTCAAAAATTCTTTTTAAATGTCACATGTCATGTTATACTTATATGATATTATAACTTCAGGTCTAATATCATAACTAATGTTATACCTGTATGATATCATAACTTCAGGTCTCATATCATAACTAATGTTATACCTTTATGCTATTATTACTTTAGGTTTAATATCAGAACTAATGTTATACCTGTATGATATCATAACTTCAGGTCTCATATCATAACTAATGGTATACTTATATATTTTAGGTAGATGTATAGGAACATTACGTGGTCATGAAGATGAAGTATTAGATGTAGCGTTTGATTATACAGGACAACATTTATTAACAGCTTCTGCTGATGGTACTGCTAGATGTTATAATGCTATCACACATAATCTAATATCGAAATTTGAAGGACATGAAGGGGAAATTTCTAAGGTAAACTGATACAAATTATTATTTCCACTTGCATTTGGAGCCCTGTTTAGTGTTATAATTATAGTTTTGAATTTTGACTTGCTAATCTGAATAGATTTAAAGATAAGATCACACAATGATGTATATTGGAAGGATTTATATGAGTACATCATAAATGTGTGTCAGCAGTGTAGAATTGACCAATACCACAGACTGTCCTAGAAAAAATTGCTTTATTGCATACTGCATAACCTGTCTTCATGAAGAAAATCATAAGTAGAAATATACTTGTAGTACCTAAAACATAGTATGATTTCCAGTAATTTGCCAGTATATTATATGTAACTATATATTGAATATATAACATGAGATCAGAGAAAATATGAAGTAAATAGACAACAATTTTCTTATTTTCTTTGAACAAAAAACATAATGACCAGAATCTTACCTCGGATATTTTTTTCAGATATGTTTTAATCCGCAAGGTACTAAAGTATTAACTGCTAGTTCTGATAAAACTGCTAGAATCTGGGACCCTGAAACAGGAGATTGTAAACAAGTATTAGAGGGTCATTCTGATGAAATATTTAGTTGTACATTTAATTATGAAGGGAATACTATCATCACAGGTAGGTGAATCAGTCGTATTCAAAATTAAAGTAAGAGGTTTCTCTTTTGTGCATTTTGATATTCATCATTTAAAGGTATACAGTAGTCTAGATATAAGTTTTACTAGCTTAATTTAGCAATCCGTAACATGTTCCAGAATTAAACTTCAACATCAAGTTCTGCTACAATTTGACACAAACGCCCCTTGTAAGTTAAGATTTTAATCACATACAAGCTATACTAAGATGCAATTATTAACAATATAATTCATGATAGTAGGTGTTTGTTCAATTGTAGGAGAACAGATTGTCAGATTTTAATACTAATAAGTGACACACATAACTTATATTAAGCTATATCAGCTCATAAAGGCAATATTAATCTTATCCCTTTATAAAAAGAACATAATGTCCTTAGTAAATTTACAATACAGAATGTTTGAATTTGTTTTTGTAATTTCAGGAAGTAAAGATAATACCTGTAGAATATGGCGGTGAAAATATGAGAAGACAACTTGTGCAATCATCTGGTCATAGATTATGTAGCCATCTTGTTTCCTCACATTCCAGCTGTAGCTTTATATGTTATCTAGCATTGTACCGCCTTATCAGTATTCTTCATTATTGTCAAAATTATATTAAACTAGTTTGTGTGTACCTGTGAACTTGTTTGCATGTTTTAGATTATATTTCAATTTAGTTGTAGATTGTTTGATTTCTAAATGCTAATGTAACACATATCAACTTTATTTGTCTAATGTCATCTTCTTAATATCAAGTTCTATGCTTATGATATATTTGATTGATGCTGCATTTTTCATTTTTAAGAAAATTAATGACCAAAATGAACTCTTATACAAATCAAATCTACAAAACAATTCAAATTTCTTTAACAATACTGCATAAAAGAACTTCAGAAAAAAAACATGTTACTATGTGAAACTTGCCCAATAATTGTAATAATTTTTGAATATTATTTGTATGATGATTTAATATACAGCATTAATGAAACCAGCATTGACTTGTGCAATACAAGTAATTAATGATATGTTAGATATTCTGTATTATGGCCTTGACTACATGATTACTATAAGGTTTTATGACTTCACATACTGGGTTCTATTCAATTACAAGAGAACTTGAAATCAGATTTTCACTTTGAACACTGTTATCAGTAGCTGGAATCAGGTTCAGGTGGTACAGTTTCCTTTATACCAATTTAGACTGACTGACACACTACAACCACAAAATATGTCATTTATATATATGTATTTAAAACACATCAAACAATAAATCCGTCCAAATGTTTTTCTTTTTATTTAATAAATTATTTAATATTATTTCCTCTTCCATCCAGTATTTTTGTCTTTTTTTTTATTAATTCAGGTTTCTTTCCTTTTTTCTGTGTTTTTTTCTGTATTTGAAAAGTTTTTTTTTGGAAATATTGTCTACAAGATTATATTATTAACAGCATTATTTGTTTGTATAATAACATATATATTATATATTTTAGTATAGATATGTAAATATAATATTTACATGCCAGTCAAGTGTTCAGATATATTGAAATATTGTAAATTTTCACACAAATATATTTAGTAAAGTCATATGAAAAATTTTATAGTAAAAGTAATTACTTAAAGGGAGAAGATTTGTTGATTTAGAGAGAAGAATAGATTTTAGAGAGATGACATGTTTATATTAAAGAGATGTTCCCAGATTTGATAAAAAAAAAAATTCTAGATTTGAGAGAAAACATTTCTAGATTTGAGAAATTATTTTCTAGTTTCTAGCGAAAACATAGAGAAAATATATCTAGATTTGAGGAAATATTTCCCAGCGATTTTTAGATTTGAATTTCAAGGCTTTAAGGATTAGCTTTAGATGAAAGATGAGATGGAACATTCTGTCTTCTAGCAAAAACCATAGTTTCTAGATACGAGTGGCTCAAAATTCAAATGTCTTGTCTTTAAGATTCACTTACCTTGACTATATTTCACAATTATCATTAGTTATTAGATTATTATTTATATTGTAATTTTGTTTTTGATTGTTAATTATTTATACTATTAAAATTACAATTCATATCAATTCACTTTCAATCATTGTTATAAGAGACTGTTGATATAGCTCAGACTACCCTTGTATTTGATGAAACGCAGTTCTGTAACCGGACAAAAATGATAACCATTGCGAAACCAATTTGATTTTTGTGGTCACTGCAAAATGTAACAGCCATCAACTTGAATTCCTATGGTTTGATTTAACTTGCAGACTATTCTTACTTACAATATTCCCCTTGCCATGTGCCACATACGGATAAAATTTTGTTCAAATACAGATGCTACTTCTTGAATGGATAGTATTGTAACTGTTTGACCTGATACTTTTTCTTACCCTCTGATAATATGTGCTTGTCATCAATAAAACTTTCACGTATTAATTTGATTTTTACATTATGTTGCATTCGGTAATTCTCGGTAATTCTGCAGGTTTTGTATAGCTGAACGCTAACAGAACCAAGGTCATTTGAACTTGCTTCTCATTAAAGAGAGGGTAGTCAAACTCCGTTTTTTTTCAACCACACAGTCATGTTATTCTTCATAGTTTTTAAAAATAATATCGTTGTCAAATAAATAAAAATTCGAGAAAAAGTCAGGCACATCGCGATCGATTTAGCCGAGGCGTTCGAAACTATGATTAGATTAAGAAAAGACCCAGGGCAATGCACACATGAATGAATTATGATAAATACTTATGCGATGCAGAGCATTTCGTCGGATCCATTGTGTCAAATGGACAAATTAACCGACTGTGGCTGGATCAAAGACTGTAACTGTGTCCTTGCTGTGATAACGTACAATCCAACCAAATTGCTACATTTACATTCTTCCGTGATACAAAGATGGTGGCTATTGTAGTCAAGGTATTAGACGAAGTTCGTAGTAGCTTGATATTGTGAAGATGGTTCAGCCTAAAACAAACCCTTTACATTTCAAAGCTGTGGTCCAAATGACATCTAAACAGCAACTTCACTGTATAACGTTGTATAATGTATAATGTTTTGTTATTGTGCTAATTTGACAAGAATCTAATTGTTCCAAGTATCAAGCAATTACAAAGCAGAAAATTAGATTTCTTAGTAATTGATAAATGACATTTCTTAACCAAAACTTTGTAGCGTCACTACCCACACTTGGTTAGTGATATTACTCAGAATTTTTGTAGTGGCCGAAATTTTTTAATGCCGCTGATTGTTTCTTTGAGAATATTTCTTATATCTGAGAAGTTATATTTCTAATAACTGAGTAGTACTTAGTAGTTATATTTCTTATATCTGGGTGGTGAAATCTTTCATAACCGAGTAGTTACATTTATCGTAACTTAGTAGTGACATTTCCCATAACTGAGTTACAATAGTTCTTATAACTGAGTAGTGATATTTCTCATAACAATGATGTGATATCTCCCATCAGTCCTCAGAAATGATATTTCTGTATCTAACTCGTGATGTTTCTCACAACTTAGTAGTGATATTTCTTTTAACACTCACCACTACAATTTAGGTCAACATCATTAGATACAACCAGATAAATCTATGTCCGACGAAACAAATCAGTCGAGTTGCAAGAAACAAATTTGTAATATTTGTCCAGAAGTTCGTTAAAACGACCAAGACATTTCCTAAATGAAGTCTGAAGTCTATGTGTCAAATAATCCTGCTTGAGCAAATTTAAGGTCAAAACTCGACCTCAGAAAGTCTTCATAAATCGAACAAGGCCTGGCATAGCGGATGAGTTGTGAAACATACATGCCATAAGCTGAATTTTGATGTCTCCCATTAGTTGTGATATTTCTCGTAACTGAGTTGTGATATCTGTCATATCTTTGTATTGTAGTGATATTTCTTATAACTGAGAAGTGATAACTATACGTTTGTTATTGTATATCTCAACTAAGTAGTGATGTTTCTATTGTATTCCTCTTAAATGATTTGTGATATCTGAGGGGTAGTATTTCTAATAACTTATTTAGGGATGATATGTCTCATAAATGAGTAGAGATATTTTTATAACTGAGTAGTCTCACAACCGAGGAGTGATGTTTCTCATAGATGAGTAGTGATATTTCTCATACATGAAAAGTGATGTTTCTATTTAATATTTCTCATAACCAAATAATGATAACTTAGTGATATTTCACACAACAAATAGAAAGGGAGAGCAAGAGAAAGATATTTCTCAGAAATTTATGAGTATCTTTTCTTCATAAGTATCTTTGGCGGACATCTACCATTTAAAAAAAATTCAAAGAATTTGTATATTTGATATATATTAGATATGTGATTTATCTTGTAAACATTGAAGCTGTATCGTCCACTTGCTATAGATACAACATATCATTATACAATGTCCATTTTAAAATCCATTAACGGCTTAAAGTTGAAGGTGACAATTTCCGATTATACTACTTGAAACAAGTGGTGTGAAATTTACATAAAGCATTTGAGTCTAAGTTTCCATCTGGCATTTTCCGTCTTAAAATTCCCGATCTTTGATAATTTAGAGTAATAGAAGGCAGATAAAAGCATTGATAATGAGTTGTTCAGGGAAGTAATCATGACCATACTAGTGATTTTATGACAAATCAACCACTTCTGTACTGTTTGTCCAAATTACATTGTTATCCATGCTTTTGACTTAGTTTAACGCGGTGGAACATTTCATGGTAGAAAGTTCAAGACGGACCTCGCTCCAATTCATTTATATTTCAATTTTGTCAATTGAGTAACCTCCAGTAGGCTACCGAACCATCACTTTTTCGTCTGAATGCTTTCGGGTCGTCGTCCTGAAACACATTTATTCGCTGTTCAGGCGCATCCATCAAGCTTCGCTGATATCAAACTATAGCATATCATCTAATTTATTATGTCCAGGACATAGAGTTTACACATCTATGGTCCAGAACAAACTGCAGCCGGCAACAGGTTTGTCAACATGGTCATATGCCTATAATTACTTGTACGTCACTTTGGACATCAAATCAGTCAATGTAGCAGTCGAATTGTTTGCTTGTATCACGTGGCCACACACATTGTGAGAAAAATAATTTAGACTAGGTTAAAGTATTTTTATAAATATTATATCGATAATAATAACTCATAAAAATAACACATTAAAAACTTATGAAAATATTATTTTTCGTCTCTTATCGATTGATATTAGTCACACCTATTTTATCTTAATGGTGGTAGTAAAGCTGATCCCTATTTCTCACAGTTTCATTAGCAGTTATCTCTATATCAAATCTCTATATAAAATATTTATCTATGTATCTCTGCACAGTGGTACTCGTACTATTTTTTTACAATTTTTATTATAGTCACCTAACACAACTGTCTACAAATACATTGGAACTTATTTAGAGCAGGCCTGTTCAACCTACGACCCGCGAGATGATTTCGTACGGCCCGTGGCGTCATGTAAAATTTGAGGGAAATGCAACCCGCGAGAAAATGCTTCGTTTGCTCTTGTCACTGGCGGTGTGGCCCGCAGATTTTCGCTGCCTATTCTGATATGGAAACCCTTTATATCCGCGCTGTTATATCAAAGTATGACGTAAAAATGAATCTAACCAATCAAATCGTTAACGAGGTCTGACCTCGTGTGAAAGAGTGATTTTACGTCAAATATGTCTGTTATTTGCAATGCACATTGAAATACGTTATTGAATAAATTGCATGCTTCTCATTGTTAATTCCATGATTCATTGATGGTTGGTTACGTGGCCCACGGCCTACTCGCATCCCCCGCATTGCGGAAAGGTTGCACAGACCTGATTTAGAGTCACCTAACAAAGCCGTCTCTACCTATACACTGTTACTTGAACTATCATTTAGAGTCA